GTCAGGAGGAGCTACGGACGCGGTTAAGTACTTAACACTATTCCTCAGTTGCTCGCTCATGGGTCCCACTCATTCCTCAAAGGGCTTTTCGTCCTGTGTACCCCCGAAGTATGCCCACTATTTAGAATAAGATTAGGCAAACAGTAGGCACTCCGTAAATGCACAAATAGCCCCTGGAGGGCCCCTAAGGTTTTTGACTCAGTGGAAGATAGAAGGTGTGATGTTACAGGCAGCTACAAACTGAGTGACGCCACCCCCAGGTCTACACAGTGAGCTCTCTGGGCCAGCCTGGTCTACACAGTGAGACCAGAAACAACAAAACCCCAAACAACAGGAAGCTATGAGGAAGACCTCAGGCACTGTTTGATGACTGCTTGCTTTTGGGGAGCGGAGGGGGACAGGGACACCAGACACCACTCCTGGTTCCCACATGCCCCTCTGGCTGAAGCTGGTATCGCAGCCCCAAATGCAGAAGGCCAGGCCCAGGACAGCCCAGGCTAGCCCGAGTCAGAATGGGGAGCCTTGTTTTACAGAAGGGGAAACTGAGGCGAGGAGCGATGGAGCCGGGGACCTTTCTGGAGTCCCTCTTGCTCCAGGGTTGGTCTGCCGCCCCAGCATCACAGTCGCAAGCTCCCACAAAGTCCCTGAGGAAGTCCCACTGTGTGCTTTGCGGCGCTGGCTGCGGCCTGGAGCTCAATGCAGCACAAGCCCTGGGATCTGAGCCGTCCTCCCGCTCCAGCCCGCACCCCCGCGGCGGGCGAGCCACACCCCAGCCTCTGTCATGAGCAGTCGAGCGCGCTCGGACCTGGGAGCGGGGGCTCCGGGTGGTGGTCCTCCCCTTCCTCCCGCGCCCCGCCCCGCCCCGCCCCGGGTCTTCGCACCTTCCCATGCGCAGCCGGAGGGCAGATCCCACCTCCAGAGCACCCCCGCTCTCCCCGAGGACCCCAGCCGCGGCCCTCCACCCCTGCCTTGGTTTCTCTAGATGTCCTGTGCCGGAACTTAAATTCCTAAACATTTAGAGGGGTGCGCGCATGCGCACATGTCGTAGCGCGTTCAGCAGTCAGACGGCAACTCGCTTGGGTGGGTCCTTCCACCATTTGCAGTGCGGGATCGAATTCGGGGAGACAAGCCCGCCCCCAACCGCCTCTCCCCCCCTGGGGCGCCCGGGGCCCGCTGGCAGGCCTCAGGCCTGAGCTCTGGATTCGAACTCAGAGCTGGGGCGGGTCCTAGGGAGCGGAGTTCCAGGCTTGTCTTTTAATCTCGGAAACATGTGCAACTTCCATTCCCATTTCTAGATAGGGAAACCCAGGCACAGGCCACTCAGCGGCTTGCAGATGGGCGGGCTCCCGGGTGTCCCGAGTCCACGGCGCACCGGGCACACAGTGGGCGGGCGCACAGGGGGGGGGGAGTTCATCCCGAGCACACACAGATGAGGCTCAGGCCCAGCCGCCCCGGGTCAGGGACAGAACAGGCCTGTCTGGGCCCAAGGTGCTGTGTTGATCGGGGGACACTCGGGCCTGTGAGCTCTGCTCACCACGCCCGTGCGCTCGGCTTTGGGACAGGGTTGCTGTGTAGCCCAGGCTGGCCTCGCGGGACTAAAGCCGGCCCTGCCACACCCTCCCCGGGGGAGTGTGAGAAAGAATGCCCGCGTTTGCCCTTTGCCCTGGGGCTGCTCAGGGTGGGGCTCAGGTTCCCTTCCTCACCCTTTGCAGTGAGAACCGTGTGGGCCGAGCCAGCACTAGCCCCGCCTACCGGTGTCCAGCTTGCTTGCCCAACCGGTCCTTCCTAAAGCTAGCCCCTGAGGATGGGGGGGGGGTGGCCGGGCCAGGAACCTGACGAGGTTCTCTTGGGGAAATTTTCTGAGTGTGTGTCAGTGTCAGTGTGTGTGTGAGAGTGCGTGGTGTATGTGTGTGAGTGTGTAAGGATGTGAGTGTGAGTGCGTGTGTGTGGTATGAGTGTGTCTCTGTGAGAGTCTGTATGGTGTGTGAGAGTGTGTCTGTGTGAGTGTGTCTGTGTGTGAGAGTGTGTCTGTGTGTGAGTGTGTATGGTGTGTCTGTGTGAGTGTGTCTGTGTGTGAGAGTGCGTGGTGTGTGTATGTGTGTGAGTGTGTCTCTGTGTGAGAGTCTATATGGTGTGTGTGTGTCTGTGTGAGTGTATGTGAGTGTGTCTGTGTGAGAGTCTATATGGTGTGTGTGAGTGTATCTGTGTGAGTGTGTCTGTGTGTGAGTGTGTATGGTGTGTCTGTGTGAGTGTGTCTGTGTGTGAGTGTGTGTATGGTGTGTCTGAGTATGTGTGAGTGTTTCTGTGTGAGTGTGTGAGAGTGCGTGGTGTATGTGTGTGAGTGTGTAAGGATGTGAGTTTGAGTGCGTGTGTGTGTGTGTGGTGTGAGTGTGTCTCTGTGTGAGAGTCTGTATGGTGTGTGAGAGTGTCTGTGTGAGTGTGTCTGTGTGTGAGAGTGTGTCTATGTGAGTGTCTGTGTGTGAGTGTGAGTGTGTGTATGGTGTCTCTGAGTGTGAGTGTGTGTGTCTGTGTGAGTGTGTCTGTGTGAGTGTGTGTATGGTGTGTCTGAGTGTGTGAGAGTGTGTATGGTGTGTCTGTGTGAGTGTGTGTGTGCACATCATCAGTGTGTGAGTGTGTGTGTCTCTCTGTAGCCCAGGCTGGCCTCCTCCAGTCTCCACCTCTCAAGAGTTGTGCAGTTCCCACAGAGGCCGGGGAGGGGGCTCTGTTCCGGAGCCGCCTCGTGGGCTCGAGGGATTCGAACGCAGGCCCTCGCGCTCTCAGAGCAAAGGCGCCAGCAGCGGGCGATCGTCTCTGTTCGTGTCCTGCAAACTCCTTGTTTGTTTGTTTGTTTGTTTATCTCTGTGTAGCTTTGGAGCCTATCCTGGAACTCGCTCTGGAGGCCAGG